ATTATCATTATCATTATCATTATCATTATCATTATCATTATCATTATCATTATCATCCAGCTATCTATTTCACAGGTAGAATATTTCTCAGATGCAATTCCACAGACACGCGGAGACATCTTATTTAGTGAGCCATATGTTTAGCAAATATTAATTTCGACATACATCGCGAATATTTCAAAGGTTTTTTTGCAACAGGACATTTATGTTAGTCGGGTGATGACGGTCAACTTCACAAAATTAAGTTGGTCTATTTAGAGTTCTTCTGCTTCATCGAGCACTTGAAAATAGGCGGAGTTTCTTGTTGATCGGCCCGCTTTAGATCATCTAAATCCTGAATGCAATCTTGGAATTTCTTTGAAAATGTTCTAATTCCATTCATAAATGAATAAATCCGTCTAAAAATAAATGAAAATCCATAATCTAACCTTTTTGCTTTAATTCATTTTTTATTTGGTTTTATTGCATCTTTTATTCAAAACGGAAAAGAAAAGCGGAAGATTTTAAAGTAGCTGCCCACGTCACATTAAGAAAGATCTCAAAAATACAGCTTCGACAGACTGTGAAAATCGTAGCCACTGACATTTTCACATAAACCATTCTCATATTTTCTTCATAATCAAACACGCCGTTCCCCACACAATAGATCCACTAGAAAGATCATAAGAGACAGACAGTTTGACAGCCCACGGGAATYACAAAAGATTAACTTATATAATTTCAACATAAATAGAAGCATTTTTTATTCAAATAGTCTTTTTAGATATTTCATTTTTATAAACCTTTCAGAAGAAAGAAGTAATTTACTTTAGCGACATAATTAAGCAATGTTTTCATTCTTGATATTACTAAGTTTCCATGTCCGGTTGATTTAATTATGTTTCATCTAGTGAGCTATGCYTTTATAATGGAATATTCGTAGTCTTACTGGCGCAGATCGTCCAACGGATTCCCATTATTATGATGCGATTGCTTTTTCCAGTTAAAAACGCCAAGTGATTGTTTGTCCGTTAAAACTAGGATGGCTTGTCTAGATTTGATGCGYAATCARATTGGCGTCATAACCTACCTCAACACCAGAATGTTTTCACTTCCCTGTGTGGGTGGGGCGTAAAGTTTCTGACGCACATGCAGACAACGTTTCTGATGGTTCATTAATAATACAAAGTGTCAGTTACAAAGCTACTTCTTTCCCCAGTACAAATTCTCTCTCCATTACATCCCTTCAAGGTCTGTCGATGTTTATTTCCGTTTTTCTGTGGAGCTGAACCCGTCTACTTTTTAATATCTTAGCAACCGATTAACGAAGGATGGAAGGGTTTGTTGGCTATAAAGTTCAAGTTCAAAGTCAATTTCAAATTTGGCAAAGTTTTTTACAGGCTGCAAACCTATTGGCATCATCTTGGCAACTGAACTTCATACTGCGTAAGTGCATTACAACTGTATCATTCTTGGCGCGTCCGTGTCTTTTACTCCATGACATTTAAAGGTTTTTCGGGTTTTCGTGATTTAGAATCTTTTAGGGTGTCGGAAAAGAAGAGAAAGAGTGATATTTATGTTCCACTGCGTTTTTATCATTGGAACTGATGTAATTTAACAATATTTGTTGTGCAATCTCTTAGGGGTTACAAATTAGTCAGCCACGCCCTTTTTTCAAGACTCCGGGATCTTTTAGGGTCTTCTCCGGTATTTGTACCGCGGAGTTCCCCCCTACGGGTTTGTACATGCTATAATTGAACCTTCGCGCCACATCATCACAATGACGCTTTCAGCCGAGCTTTCCATCTTTGACTCCAGTTCTATACGACTGTTCCCTGTGCTTACTATGACAGTGACCGGCAATGCCGAGTCTCCTTCTCATATTATATATTTCTACATGGACTACAGTACTAAAAGAGTAGAACAGGGAAGGATGAAAGAGCTGAAAATGGAAATAAAAAATCATTGTTGGCAATCGTTATTCTTATTTATCATACAATTATGAAAACACCTATATTTCTATTTTGACCTGTGAAAATAACACTCATGAGTCGACGTTTCTCTATATAGTGGAAGTAAGAAAAAAGGTATTTTACGACATAATTTGCTTTCAAATGTAATGCTACGCTCACTCGTGAGAGATCTTTTCAACACTCGAAGATAAAATCAATATCTCCACGCGCCCATGTAATATGCTATTTACGTTTCTGATCTTCGGCATTTTGAATGTTACTTCATTTAAATTCTATTCATTAATGATGAGTCAATATCACCTAATTCTCTGTGACAATTCATAACATTACAATATAGAGTAAAAAAGACACCTTAGTAAATTTTGCTCTTTCGGCGAACATGTGTCGCTCGTATTGTAACCACATCTTTTGTCCGCCATCTTGGATTTTGGTCGTCAYTCATAATTCATCAATAGTATCCATCAAACAACGTAATTACAAGTGACAATATACCCCAGTATCGAAAACGAGCTGCCTATCATGCTGTCAAGTCTACGTAATATATCATCGATCTGTGAGATTGTCGGCATCTGTTGCACGTCATCGCCGCCATGTTGGAYGACGATAAAACAAAGCATCCCTCATTTAGTTTCGCCATAGGCCGCACAACTATTGTTTGATAGAGGAAAAGAACGATTCGAATGCGCACGTTTTTAATTTACACTGTTATCGGCGTGCGCTCAAAATGCGGKTTACCTGTGGTATACGTCAGTGATTTCCCCTATATATATAGCTATTTCAAAAAAGGTTGTCGGATAAAATGTCCATGGCAATGGTCGAACGGCGATTGCACGACCGAATGTAGCCATGGGTTTTGTTAGTTGAAAGGAAATAACAACTGATTTATAGTGTAAAAAAGCCTTTGGTGAACATTGGCTCCATTTAGTCTCCATTTCTATGTAAAGTGAATCCAATAAGTGAAATTAACAGTGTAAYCATAGTCCATTTCGGTCGTGCAATCTACCTTCGACATTCGCCTCTCGCCGTTCAACGTTTTTTGAAATAGCTGTATATAGTGAGGGGAAATTTTKTAAAACCCATTTATAATGCATTGTGACAGTGAATAAAATAAAAGTAGACCATTTTTKTAAGTAAAATTTTATTTTTAACTATTATATGTTCAAAGTCATTGCTTGGGCTCCCTGTGTTTGGGCGGCCTATGCCCTATTCGCGTTCAGTCATTCAACATGGCGGCGATAGCTTTTTTCTTTATTTGTCGAGGGATTTTTGATGATGTGGTTGAAACCCAAGAATGAGCCAAAATCAAAAACGTTCATTGCTAACCCTCCCCCCTCCCCCTCGCAAACGAAATAAATTACGCTCTGCCCCCCTCGCAAATCGTGGCACGTATATCTTGAGAAGTTTTCCAATTCAATAAGTATTTGGCCAAAAAAGCACAGAATCCGACACCATTGATTTTCAGTTTCCAATTAAAGTTCTAGTTAATTTTAGACGTT